TAGCGCGGTGGACAAGAGGGTAGCCTCCCTTTGGCAGTTCAGAATACCCACCCTTTTTGGAACCCTTGGAAGTGGACTCCATTCTTGTTCAGACACTGAATCAATAACGATGATGCCATCGAATGTGATTTTTTAAAGACTTGACTCTTGAATACTGTCTAGAGCAACCATCAAGGACACAGACTGCAGAAAAATCATTCTCGTTTTCATGGTACAGCTGTAGAAGTTTGAGCCACTTGTTGTGATTTGGGCTCTTAACAGGACATCTGACACTGGAATAACTCCGCCATTCATATCCAAAGCTCACCAGTGAATGATATGAAGCCTTCAAGTCCATTGACCTTTAGCCATGAACAGATGTTGTCAACTGACCAATTTGCCATCCCTGGATGAGAAAAAGACAGAGACCATTAGTGCTTAGACAGTTTTGAAATGTTTGCATAATGCTACAGTGTTGTAAAGTTTTTGTTATTTTGTTTAACCCTTGAACAGCATTGAGAGACGTCAAATAAATAAGCCAACCCTATGCATGCGCACGACAGGCCGTTGTGAAAAAGTAAAAGAGCTCTATTAATTTACAATGTCCTTAAACTTCGATCATTCCAATATAGATGTCCGAAGTCCCAGCTGCCAACACAGAAAGCAACATATAAGGTGAAAGCCCCCACATCCAGGTCTCTCTGGTCACATGAAGACAATAAAATAGGAGAATCCACCGAAACACTTTATCATCTTTCTGAGAATAGGCTAATTAGAAAAAAAATGTTTTTAATCATTAACCTATTACATACATGCATGTGTTTTCAATTCTTCACTTCAACCTGAAAAATCATGTGGTTGAAGCAATGTATCATTTCACATATTTTCATACATTTTATGTGTATAATTCAGTGTCTCCCTTCTCTCTTCATCAGCAATGAGCGTGACTAGTCACAAGTCTGTGTTGCATTGCTGTGCCTCTAAACTTGAAAAAAATACACCAGAGAAAGCCGAGACCAAAACATGAAAAAGTCGTGCGTGGCACGAGAGCACGTGACATGTATCAACTGATGGCAGCCCTGGACACAACTGGAAAAAAAGGTTAAAATATTTTTTTCATGTCTATGATAGATAATGAAACTGAAAGCTGGCATGTCAGTATGACTGTCAAAGGGACCTTTAACTATAGCTGAGAACCGATTACCAGACACGCCACTCCAACTCAAGACTCGAGCAGCGCGCCTGACACTGCCAATGTGGCTGCTCTAATCTGTCAGCATCATCGCATATACCTGATTTTCTAGCTGCCTCACCTTAATGTCTGTAACTGTAAAGTTCTTTCCCCGAATGGTATTTTATCGCGTTGGCCGTAATTAAACCCACCCTAACATCGGATAAATCGCCTGCTGTAGCCTGAGGGAATAACTAAGACTTTCCCGCCAATTCGCTCCTTGCATGCGCCATGTCCTGATTGGAGGGCAGCGAATGAGCCCGCCCGCAAGACGCCGGCGGCCCTTGAGGCCACCAAGAACATTTGATTTACGAAATTTACATTAATTAAATGTGTCAATAAATAATGAAATATAAACTGCAATAAGTTTTGCAATATTAAATTGAACGATTTATTGACATATTTAATTATTGATGTTTTTATTGGACAATAGATTGACATATATAACGATAGATTGACACATTTAATTTAATTAATTATGTCACAAAAAATCCTCCATAGATTACCACTCTTGTACCTGACATTTCACATTTTTTTTTTTTTAAATCAAGGCTGTTTTTTGATGATTTGACCAAAATAAAATTATGTTAGTGACCACCTAAAAGAGCATATACACTATTCTGCTGTTGCTACAATTTTCGGTGCCCTTCGATTTTAAGCAACCGCCTGTGTCACGTTGGCCACATCCGCCTCTGTGTATGCTCTCTTCTTAACATTACATTTCAGTATACCCCATAACATCACAGTGTCCAGTCCCCGATATGAATTTCCCAAAAATAACTAATACACATTAGCTAACACAGCAAAAGCTAAGTAGCTACGGTGGCTAATTAACTAACCAGCTTTGCGTTTGCTAGCTAACAATGTTATAGTAACACACAAAATACAAGTGCAATTCGGAGCATTTCTTCATATAAGTTAATTATGGTTAACTTAGCAAACAACTGACAACAAAATAACTTATTGACTTTATTTTAATGAGCTTACCTGGACCGCCAGTCTCCAGTTCTTGACCAGGATAAGGGCGGGAAGAAAAAAAATGGAGTTGCCTGTGACGACCTTGATCTTCCTCGAGCTTGAGGGAGGAATGTTTAAGGGCGCTTTTCCTCCGCACCAGGTACCGTACGTATTTGTTAAAGGTGCTGCTTTTCCTCTGGAGTAAAAACTGGTACCTGAATGACATCACAACACGAAGCGGGGTATTTTACACTGAATTCGAAAAAATGGCCGTAGTGTGTTATAGAGCTGGACGGTGTGCGATATTAATACCAACATCGCATATTATGTACATGCAATTCTTACATCTTCAGTCAGCTAGATTAAGATCTGGCTTTTTCCTTATTTCTTACTTTCTATTCTCTACGTACATTATAGCGCAGGGAGATTAGGATTCACTAGAACATTGTACTCAGTCATAGAATTTTTTTTATAGATTATATCTAATATATGTTTAACTGTCAGTTTAAAGTCTACCTTGCAACGCTTTTGCAGCAACGCTGCACGCGTTTTCCAAGACAATCGTAATCATTTCCATCCGTGCTGTTTAAATCGGGTTTATTAGAAATGTGTTCATTCTTTTTGCTTGGCAAAAACCCCAGTATTTTTTTTTTTACAAAATCACATCACTATGTTTACAACGAAATCACATCGCTGGGACAACACGCTTTATGCATGCTGTCCTTGTATATTAAACGACATACTTTTAATTTTTTTATTTATTTCTTGTCCTGTCATCCTGATTTTTGTATAGGCCTATGGTAATTATCGCAATTAGATCGCAATTATTATTTTTTTCCCTCGTTTATCAATGTTTTGTGAGTTTGCTGTTTTCAAGGCGGCATTTGTATTGTACGTGTTTCACGACAGGATATATTTGCATAACCAATCGACAAAGAATTAAGGCATTTCAAGTCCCACCCGAAGTACCAAAGAAGTACCCCAGCTGGTTTGGCACTTCT